GCAGAGGAAAAAATTCAAAGATATGCTATCTGATTCCATGAGACTGCTGTCCGTACATCGCCTTGCGTACAGCAGAGCTGTGTCTATCGCATCTAAACCTCGTGTGCCTTGCGTTAGGGGGCCACAAGTGGGAGCGTTGTTCCCTTAACCCCCGGCCGGCGTTGGCGGAGGAGACGCTCTCCCAGGAGGGACTCAGGCAGCGGGGACAGGCGGCCCCACCTCCCAGGAGGCTCAGGCTCCTGGCGGCCTCTCGGTGGGTGGCATGGGGTGGGGAGTTGCTTCATCACTTCAAGTCCTAGTGCCTGTGACCCTGCTCTCTCTCTCTGCCTCATGTATGCGGCTGAATTCGTGTAAGCTGGATGTCCCTGTGCCGTGTGGCCTTCTGGACGCTTGTTGATTGACTGAATGAGGACCAACCCTATCGGTGGTGCAGGGGACTTGGAGATGGTGGGCAGCCCCTGGCCTCTTCGTTATACCTCCTGTAGGCTTTCGTTCCTGCTGGGGAGGACGGTGCTGGGCCTGGCTGTTTGGATGGTGCAGAGGGCCTGTCCCTCCCTTCTGTGAGCCTCAGTCTTCCCTTCTGGAAAGTGGGTGCTGTCTGATGGCTTTCCAGGGCTTGTGGACCTGAAGTGGGGCGTCAGGAATGGAATCTTGGGGTCTGCTACCAGGAGGTGATTGGGTGTATCCCCCTTTCTGGCTTCTTGAACCCCAAGGGGCTCCCCAGTTGAAGACCTTGCCCTGGGATGCAGTTCCAGCCTGGACGGAATTCTGGGCTCCATGCTTTACCCGTCCCAAGACCTTCATTAGCACCTGCAGGGCTAATTCTGTAGCAGGAGCCTGGCTGTCCTGGGCAGAGTGTGGGAGTCACATCCTGAACCAGGCACGATCTGGGCAGGGATCCCATGGTGGGCACCCCAGACACAGCCTTTGCCCCCACGCAGCAAATATTCTAGTTGGAGGGTGAGGTGGGGTGAGTCAGGCAACAGAGAAATGAATTAAGTTGATTTCAGATACATGTAGATTTATAAAGGCACTTCGGCCAACAGGGCAACCAAACCTGGGTGGGAGGGCAGGGCTGTTGGAGGAGGGGATTTCTGAGCCGAGAGGGGAGTGTGCAGGGAGGGTGCAGGCAGTGGGCACAGCTGGTGCAAAGGGCCTGAGGTGGGGCCAGGCTTGGGGTGTGTGACAGTCGGAAAGGGAGGAGGCTGGAGCAGGTGGCGGCAGGGCAGGGGAGAAGGAGAGGGACTGGGGCAGGGAGTTTGAAAGCTACTGGAAAGTTTCAGTCCAGGGAGCAGTGAGATCTGAGTTTTGTTTTAAGACACTTTCTGTAGCTCTTTTGTGCCTCCGCAGAGAGGCTGTTGACAGAAGGGTTGAGACCCTGTGTCGGGTCCTGTGCTGGAAGGCAGGTCTCACGCTGCAGATGCTACAGGTAGGTAAGGGGGACAGGCCTGTTGACAGACACATGAGATCCAGGGTGATGTGTGCTAGTCAAATAGATGTTGGTGCAGCCTCACAGTAGAATATTATGCAGCCTCGAAAAACAAGGAGGTGCTAATCTTCAAGATCTCTTGAGAGAGGAAAACAAGGTGCTGAATGATGCTGCCTTTTGTGTCAAAGAAGGGGTGTAAATCCATGTTTGCTTGTCTGCTCACAGGCAAACCCTGGGAGGCAGCGCTGTGGTGAGTTGCAGTGGTACCTGTGGTACCTGTGGTTCCCTGGAGGGGGCGTGCATGTGGGGATAAGGGTGCACGGTGAGGGACACTTCGCTGTGTGCTTTCTTGTATTTTCTGGATTTTGACCATGCCCCTGTATTGCCTGTTCAGACATCAAATTCAATTCAGAAGCAGTTGAGCGGTTGGTGGGTGACTGTTCATTTGTGAGTTTCTAGTTCAGTGTTCAAGGATGGTTTCTAGGTTCCCTGCTTTACTGGCCCTGTTGTACGACAGACTGACTTCTTCCTGCCGTGGCACACAAAGGTTTCCACTGCGATTAAAATCAGATGCTAACAAAGTCACTCTTTGTGAAGTTTGGCGGTTGGACAAAAGGCAAAAATGCCCCCTTCCTCTCTTCCCCGTCCCTGTGGGTGTTTCCTCCTGCTGCTCTGCCTGCTGGCTTTTTGTGGGGCACGCACCGCAGCACTCAGCCTTCCACTCCCAGCCTGTTGCCGCTGTCCCCCCCACTGGCCGGACTGGAGCTGAGGGGACAGCGGGGCCCAGGGAAGTCCCCGCTTTGGTGCCCTGCAAGGCTCAGATCCCAGCTCTGCCGCTTCCAGGCTCTGCTCCCTTCGGGCCAGTGACTCCCTCTGAGCCTCAGTTTCCTCATCTGTCGAGTGGGCATCATCACCCCTTTCCTAGCATTGTTGGAAGGAGGACAGGAGATCACTGGCTCCTTCGCCTAGCACCTCCTGTGTACTGGTCACTGTTGCGGGGATAAGGCAGTTCCAAGACGACCTTCTCCGCCCCCGCAGAGCTGGCTCCCTGGAAGGGGTGCAGACGGATGCTTAGCCAGCGTGCTGAGCTGGCTGGGGCTGGGATGGGGTTGGGAGCACTGCTTTAGGTGGGACGTCGGAGGAGGCCAGGGGCGTAGACGCCCAGGCAGGAGGTACAGCAGGGGCAGATGCCCTGGGGCCACTGGAGGACAGGACGCTCCTGAGCAGGGCGGGCGGCCCGGCTGCAGGCACAGTGGGCTTTCAGTTTTGTGTGTGATGAGGATGTGATGAGGGTTCAGTCTGGGGCGGGGTGGGGTCTGACTGGGATTTTAAGCCACCGTCCCCATCTGCTGGGAGGGGAGCCGACTGGAGCGTGGCAGCAGCCTGGGGCTCAGGGCCGGGCCTCGTGGGGCAGGGGTGGTGTGGAGTGACGGCCTTCCCCCGGGACGGTCGGGAGCCCTGGCCAGGCGTCGTGTGGGAGCAGCTAGGAGAGGCTGGCCGGACTTGGGTTCCTTTCTTGTCAGGGCCGCGTGCCCAGGGCCTCGGGTGCTCTCCTCGTACACAGCGCTCGCAGCAGCTTCTGGCGTGGGCCGGTCCCTGGTCCCTCTCGTGGCCGTCCCGAGGGCCGCGGGGACCATGGAGGCAGGTCTGAAGTGCTTCTGCTAGGGCTGTCCTGGAAGAGAGCACAGAGGTGCTGGGAGCCTGGGCGTGGTAGGGAGGGCTTCCTGGAGGGAGTGATACCGACACCGACGTGAAGGTGAGAGGCAGACAGGAGAAAACCTGGCTTCTCTCAGACAGGTGGGTTGGAGGGGGCTGGCCTCCTGCACGGGACCCTGACACATAGGACCTCGAGTCCTGGTCTGAGGGTGGATGATGGGCAGCCTTGGGGCCCTTCTGAGCAAGGGAGGGGCAGGGCCAGTGCGTCGGAGGGGCCCTCTGGCAGCCCAGGTGTGGGGTGGGCCTGGAGGGCCAAGCTGGCAGGCGGGCGGCCTGAAAGGGTGACAGGGCAGGGATACAGCTCCGAGGGGCAGGCCTGGCTGTGGCCACACTGCCAGTGAGGCGGAGGGGCTGGGCGGGAGCCAGGTCTCTCCACCTCCGGGTCTGGCCCCGGAGTACTGGGTACCATGGCATGCACGCACCGCTAATTCCCCTCCTTCGGGCTGGTCCCTTCCCGGGGCCCCTCTGGGGTCAAGCCATGCGTCATTTTGCACCATTGTCCTCTGGTTGTTGGAATTTGGAAACGTTGCAAAAATGCCTCTGTCTTCTCATATATGGAGATTATTGCAAAGAAAGTGCGGGCCCAGGGAAAGGTTATTTCCTTCCTCGAGGGTGGGGAACCTGGCTTTTCGGTGGGGGTGGGAGTGGTGCTGCTGTGTTGTGGGTGGCCGGAGCGACCCCACCCGGGTCAGTGTCGGTGAGGAAGTGGACCCGCCTGCCCGTCTGCCCGGGGCTGGGGGTTGGGGGGCGTTTAGAGCCCCGGTCTGGCCAAGAGGGTGGGAGCCAGATCACTCATGTGCCCAGAAGGCCTTTGCCTTCAAGCAGACCTTGCTGGCCTCGGCCATCTCCTCTCCTAGGGCCTTGGTTTCCCCATCTGTGGACTGGGGACAGCCCTCCTGACTGTGCTGTGGTTTGGTGCCTTGGAAGGGCCTGAAGCATGGGAGGAGGGTTCTGAGGTGCTGGGTGATGGTGGGGAGAGGACCAGGGCAGGCCAGGGAAGCTGGGAGGGCGCCCATGCACCTGCCGGGGCCTGAGTCACATGACCCTGGATAGTGAGGGCCTCAGCTTCTCCATCTGTAAAATGGGCCTGGTGGTGGCATCCGCCCTGGGTGGTCGGTATGAGGGCTGAGGGTGTGTGGAAGGCCCTGAGCATGGCTTTTGGCCAGTGTGCCATGCTTAGCGGACACGAGTGAGCTGGGTTCTACCAAGTGTCACGACCCCCTCTCCTCTGATCACTGAGATGCCATCGTCTGGGTTGGGGCTGGCCCCGGCCCTGGGCCCACCTTTCCTGATAAACTGCCCCGAGTTCCTCCTGCCTCAGCCTGGGTCTCTCCTCCAGCCGTGTCTGTGGTCACCGAGTGAGCTTTTGGTGCTCCGGACAATTCTGTCCTTCTTAGAGTCCCCTCACGGTGATAACGTTGGCCCTGACATGTGCACAGCCGCACGGTGCCCTCCCTGGCCCCCGACACACGCAGGCACGTGTGAACACACACACACACGTTTGTCCTCAAGACCACCACACTTTGCTCAGGTTTTCACGTCAGCTTTCTGAGCCCTCGGGGCTGAGAGATGAGCCCTTCCAGGGGGCTGGTGCCAGCCCGGCGGCTGGGTTCCTCATCAGACCCCCTGCGTCTCCTCGGAGCAGACCGATTCGTACGCGGTCTGGCTGTGGGCACCGTGTGCGGGTCTGGTGCCCTGTCTTGGGGACAGAGCCAGCGCACGTTTGCTTCCTGTCCTGATGAAGTGGCCGTTAGCATCCTGCTGTGCCGTCTTCTGCTGGGTTCCCCGGCCTCCTGTGCCTTTACTTCATAGGTAACAGATTTTTAATACGTACACTTACTCTGAAAGGAGACTATTTATCACAAGTGTAGATGGAAGTCAGGACCACGTGCCCTGAGTCAGCAGGCCCCCCGACGCTTAAGAGGACGGCCCCAGAGCAGGACTGAAGCCCCGCCCGGCCCTTCCCTCTGTGGGTCTCGGGGAGATGACTGCAGCGCCCCAGTGCTCCGCGCAGGGAGAGATGGGTGCTTCCCGCCACCGGGCCTCTGGCGCTTCCTCTTTGTCCCTGAGATCTGGCCTCACCCTGAAAGGTCATCTCCAGCCCCACTGGCCATCGCTCACTTGGAACCTCCTGGGGACCCCTTCCCACTCTTTGGGCCCCCGTTGACATGTTTTCTGCTGGGCAGAGTCTTCTTCGAGACCAGGTCCCTGGTTTTCTGGTGGTAGCTGGTCCCTGTTCTCATGTGGGGGCTGGGGCGTCTCCTGCACCCCCAGTGGTGTGCGCAGCCCTGCTGCCTGGGCAGGGCCCTGCGGCCTGGAGGCAGCCCGGCCTGGGGCGGCCTGGGGCTGGGATCCGTGCTGCGGAGGCACAGGCTGGGACTCAGGCCAGGACTGAGGGCGGGGCGATGGAGCCTGGTGAGGGACGGTGGGGGTCTAGGCCCGGCCAGAATGGGAAACTAAGCTGTAAAGCGCCTTGTAAACTGTAAAGTGCTGCCGCCAGGTGACCAGAGTCGTTAGCGTTACTTCTGTTGGGTCTCACCCCTGACGCCGCAGTCATGGCTGGTGAGGCCCTCATTAGCTACATCCTCTTACCACCCTCCTCCAGGCATGTTTTCTCAAATCGAGTGCCCGACATTATGCTCTCATGCATGAGAGAGACTCGTTTAAGGGACGGCTGGGGATGGAAAGGATGTGGTGACATCAGCCGCCTGACCCCAAGGCAGGACATGCCTGCCCTGCAGAATGGCTGGGGCTTCCCGTGCATGGCTAGGGGAAGTGACCTTCCTCCACCTGAGACCTCGGGGTCCCGCGGGGATGATGGGGCCCACCTCGACCTAGGCTCACCCTTCACGCTGCTTCCCCTTGCTCCCACGTCAGGAGGGGCCTGCCCATCACTGTGGAGAGAGGCTCCCTCATGGGGTCTTGTCGGTGTCGGAGGGGGTCCCTGCATTGTCAGTGAAGGGCTGGGGGCCCTGACGCCACTGAGACTGCCTCCCTGGGCCGATCAGTCGGCTGTGGCCCAGGGTGGGGTCCCCTAGTCCTGACAATGACATGGCTCCAGCCTTAGTCCCTGTGGATGGCACTGAGTGAAGCCAGCTGCTGCCCAAGGAGGTGTCCCCTGAGGGACACAGTCTAGTGACCCCGAGACCCAGATCTCCTAGGTGTCAAGTCAGCAGCAGATACAGCGCAGTTGCCACTCTTGCTCCCTCATCATGACTGTCAGGATTGTTTTGGTTGCAGCAAAAATGTTGTGGAACTGAAATGTGCAGGGGCTGGCTTCAGGCTCGGCTGTATCCAGGGCCTCTGACGATACCATGAGGGCTGTGTCTCCCTTCTCCATGGTTTTCTCAGGCAGGATCTGCCATGTGCACTCGGGTGGCCCATGGCTCCAGGCTACCTCCCTTCAGCCCAGGGGCGTCAGCGTGGGCCTGTGAGACTGGGTGGTGTGACCATCCCTGACCAGTCACTCTGACCAGGAGAAGAGGCCTCTAATTGGCCCTCTTGGGTTCCCCGTAGCCCAAGAGTGGGAAAATTGGGGTTCTCTTCCCAGGTGGATGGGGCAGAGAGCCCCACACTATGGCCAGTGCGCTCCTCACAGATGGACTGTGTGTTTCTTCCCCAGTCCCCCTCTCGCACGGTGGACCCACCCCAAGGAAACGTGAGGATGTTCTAGGGGGAGTAAGGCAGCTCTTCGCCGTCCGGGGGCATTCTGCTGCAGATGGGGAAGTAGAGACTGGGTGCGGGGCTGTGGGGCCCTGACCTCCCATCCAGTCACTCCTACCCCAGGTGGTCAGGATGTGGGCACGTCTGTTACTCTCTGAGGGTTTGCTCTCGGCCTCTTATTTTAACATCCTTCTCTTCTGTGAACTCTGAAGACTTAGGAACTCCACGTACAGAGTGCAGGGAGGTCAAAAAAGGCAGCCATAAACTCTGGGGAAAGGTTTCCTGGAAGAGGGGATACTGAGCTGGGTCTTTAGGGATGAATAGGAGTTTACTAAGGGGCAGAAGGGTGTGCATGGCAGAGGGAACAAGGGAATGGGCTGTGACTTGAGTAGCTGTGAAGGACTTAGAGGAGCTGGGGTAGGTCGTTTTTTGTCTGTAGGCTGTGTATTGAATGCCCGTTTGCCTGGTGCTGGGGTCACCACACCTCCTCTCTGAGTCCTCTCAGTGTAGCTGCGAGGCCACTGTGGTTGGGTCCATGAGCAGACGGGAGCCTGACCTCCAGTCCAGCCACCCTGCCCCCCGTCCTGTGTCTGCCCTGAGCTGGGGCCGTGCAGGCTGATCAATCAGCCCACCCACCAGGTGCGGGGCCGGCTGCACTGAGGTCGGGTGGGACACGTGGTGCCGTGGGAGCTGTGAACGAGGTGGAGCCGGGGTGCGGCAGGAGCAGGAAGCAAGTCCTTAGGGTTCCAGGAGGCAGCATGGTCTGGGTAGAGGGGACGGTCAGGGGCTTCGGGGAGCAAGGACTCCCTGCCCCGTGCTGGTACCCACCAGGGAAGGGCGGCCCAGCACGTATATGTGTGCACACACAGGCTCACGCGTGCTTAGGCAGGCCTCACGCGCACACCCCGCACACTTAGATTCCACAAGCACGGGGATGCACTCACACCCCCGCCCCTGCTCCTCATGCTCACACGTCCTCGCGGGCACTCGCATCTCTCATGGAGGGACCCTCCGTCTCTCAGCTTCCCTTGAAAACACGTCCTGTATCAAACAGGGAAGAGAAAGCAGGAGACTATGTGCTTGAGCCCAGAGGTAGGGTGAGAAGGGGGCCCCGGCCTGGCTCCGGGGGCTCCCCTCACCTCCCCGGAGCCGTCTCTCAGTGTGGGTGGACCCCACCCTGGACCCAAGTGCAGGGGTGGAGCAGGGGTGAGAAGGGGCGGAGCCACGGTTTAGGAGGCTCTGGACAAGGGGTGGACCCCAAATGGGGTTTACCTCCCATCTTTGTGTTCCTCTCAGGGGAGGAATTAAAGCCCCCAAAGGGCAGTGTACCCTGCGGAGGGGCCTGCTGGGGGAGCCCTCCCCTGGGGGCCTGGTCCATGACCCCCTTTGCCAGGAGAAGCCTCCTTTACGCAGAGCTCGTAATCACAAAGTGCTGAAGTTTATTGACAACGTTTTCCTAGGATCTCCCGAGACGATCACATAGGGTTTTTTCTTCTAATGAACGGCATTGATTTTTCAGTATTGCACTAGCCTTGCATTCCTGAGGGAGCCTGTTTGGGCACAAAATATTGTTACCCCTGTAATGGGCTGCTGGGTTCAATTGTCTGATGTTTTGTTCAGGGCCTGGCAGCTGGACTCCTAGGTGGAACTGCCTGTCTGGCCCTCTTTTCGCTGTTGCTGCGCCTGCTTTTGGTGTCAGGACTTCCCTAGTCTCATGAAACGGGAGAGGGTGCAGCTTTCTTCTTCTAGGCCCTGGGAGAGTTTTTTAATAGGGTGGGACTGTTGTCAGCTCTGGCTGTACCGTGTCTTGGGCTGGTCTCTGTGGGCACTTTTTAATTTCGTCCACAGCACCCTGGTTGAACACACAGGGAAAGGGAGGCGCCAAGAGCCAGAGCCCTGCGCCAGGGTCGGACGGCAGGAGGCAGCTCGGCCCGGCTGCGGACGCAGGCCTGTCTGACTCCGGGGTCGCGCTTTTATGCTGTTTATCTCTGTTTACAGGAGAGCTGTTGGCCTTGTTCTGGGTTTTCAGGACGGGTGGGGAGAGCAGTGGCCGAGCGTCAGGAGGACGTTCCCCCTCGCTCATCACCCCTGCCTCCACTTGTCCACTGACCCTTACCTGCCCAGTCGTCCAGCCACCCTTCAGCTGTCTGTCCTCAAGCAGGTGCTCCCACCATCAACCCGTCTTCCCATCCGCACCTCCTCCATCTCCGCACTCATCTTTCCACCCACTCACCTGCCCGACCATCAGACATTTATCCACACACTGGTTACTCGTCCATCCGCTGTCCACCGTCTGCTGTCACTCACTCACTTATCCATGATCTGACCACCATCTGTCACCCATCTATCTCTTTCCAACTGTCCATCCACAAACCAGTTCACGTACCCATCTGCTAGTCCACCTTCTCATCCATCCGTATTCCATCAGGTACCCGCCCACCCATCTGTCCACTCATCCAAGCGTCCATCTGTGCATCTGCTCATCCACCACCCAGCCATCCATCCACTCATCAACCCATCATCCACCCGTCCATCCTTTCATCCATCCATCCATTGCATCGAGTCACCCATCCGTCCACCCACCCACCCCTGGGGCTTGGCCTTAATGGAGGGGGCATGATTTGGGTGTGAAAAGATTCAGGAGGGAGGGCACCCTGGTTTGGGATAAGGATTCGAGTCAAGATGAGGACCTGGGAACCAGAGTCTTCCAGTTTAGCAGGAATTGGGTGTGTGGAGGGCAGCAGGGGGAGATGGGTTAGAAAAGACAGGTGGGAGCTAGATGATGGAGGACTTTGAGTGCCACCCTTAGAGTCTTCACTTTGTCCTGGGGCCAGGGGCCTTCAACCCAGAGTCCATGAATGAGTTCCACAGGGCCTGTAAGACCCATAAAGTGATAGAGAACAGCTTTTGATATAATCCCATGTATCTGTTGAGACTCTTGGTTGCAATTGACAGAACACCAGGTCCAAGTTAGTTTAAGCAAAATGGCTTCAGCTTTTCAGGGAGCTTCAGGCATGGCTAGATCCAGGTGCTTAGCAACTATCATTGTGACTCTATTTCTCTTTTTTTCTGTCTCTTGGCGTTTCCTTTTTTGTTTTTTGAGTTGTCTCCAGCCTCAGACAGTTTCCACTTGACAACAGGATGGCTTCAGGGACTCTCGGAGTTAAACCATCTTATGCCTACTACAGCAGGAAAGAGGGAGGCCTTTGCCCGATGAATCACCTGAATTGGCATCCATCACTGAGTTAGGCATTGTTGCAAGAGGAGTGAGAAGCACTGACTGGGTTGACAGTGGAGTGGTGTGGACCCCAGAATGAAATTCAAGGGGCTGTTCATGGAAGGAGAGTGAATATATGACGAGTGACCAGAAGCCACCTCAGGTCCAGGTCCTCGGCGGCAGGACCGCGGGCAGCCCGGACACCTGTCTGTCTGTAGCCGGTGGAGGGCTCAGGGACACCCGGTGGGAAGAGCGGTGAGCTCAGCCTTGGCCGTGGGGGCGCCGTTTCTCATCGCTCCGCCGGACGCGTGTTTCCTCTCTCCAGAGCTGTGCCTTGTGGGGAAGGAAAATCTCAGTTCCCTCCTGGTGCCAAAAGCAACATTTTCTTTTCTCAGAGGTTGATTGTAAGTCACAGACATTCATCTTTGTAATTTTTCACCTGCTTATGTCTCTAATGAGATTAGGGGTTATGTAGGCAGGGCCAGTGCTCACCTGTAGCTTAAGGAGCTTTTTATTCATTTGACTTTTTTTTTTTCTTAATTAGCAAAGAGAGGGTAGGGAGGGGGAAAAAATCCTGGCTGTTGTGCTGGAAGGAGGATTTTCCCAGTGTTTTCATGAGCTCACCCACTGGAGGTCCCCGGGGGCCATGAGCCTGTGAGGACGCGGGGCCCCCAGCACCCTCCACGGATCCCACCCTGTGTCCCCTCCTCTTCGGGGGGTCTCAGGCCACCCCTGTGCCCACAGCCTTGCCTGCTCTCCTGTCTTGGGCCTTTACAAACAATGGCATCAATAATGAGATTTTTGCCCACAAGGAAATGAAGGAAAATGGGACTTTAAAGGTGGAATCCAAGCTTGATTGCTTTTCTTTTGGTAATTTGTGGCTGTTTCTCGTATTCCACCCCTCCTTTCCGTTGCTCCTGCCAGCGCGCTCTCTGGCCTTGTTTCCTTTCTCTGGACCACTCTCATCCGCCCTTTTCTTTTAAAAGTCTCTTATTGTGAGAAAACATGCATAGAAAAAGTAGGTGAAAGTCAGAACACAATTGACTAACGGCTCATGTAACCACACCTCTGAACCCAAAGGACACCCCCCCTCCAACTCCCTTGGTCCTTCCCTCCTCTCCCGCCGGACACACCAGGCACCAGCCACCAGACCCTCAGGGTGCCCACTGGGCGTGGCTTCCTAGCTCTGCCTCCAGCATCTGCATTTCCTCCGAGATGCTGTTAAGGTTTTACACGGCTTTGGGCTTCCTGGGACTGGAAACTCCTTCTGCCTCCCTGACCCAGTTGGGCCAGTGTTCACCAAGTGTACTGACCCTTTGCCACGTTCCTGGGGGTCCGGTCTCCTCTTCTTAACTTCCCTCCTTCCTTGACTCTCATGTCCCCCTGCCCCACACCCCTTTTCTCCTCTT